TAACCCAAAAGGAAACTCACAGACTGAAAGTAAAGGACGGAAAACAGTACTTCATGCAACAGGAACTGAAAAAAAATGGGAGGTAGCTATTTTGTTTGCAGATAATGTGAACTTCAAACCAAGAATAATCCTAACAGATAGAGAAGGTCACTACATACTAGTTAGGGGAAAACTTCAAGAGGAAGAGATAACTATCTTAAATATACACACACCAAATTTCAGAGCACCCTCTATACAAAGCAAGTATTAATAGAAATGAAAAATCAAATTAGCAATAACACAATTATAACAGGAGACATTAACACAACATTTATACCAAGGGACAGATCAACCAGGCAGAAAATCAGCAAAGAACAATAGAACTGAATCACACCTGTGAACAAATGGACTTGATAGACGTATACAGAGTGTTTCATCCAATAACAACAGAATACACATTATTCTCAGCAGTACATGGGACATTCTCTAAAGTAGACCATATACTAGCCCACAGAACATATTTAAGTAAATGCAACAGAGTTGAAATTATCCCATGCATGCTGTCAGATCACAGCACCATGAAACTAGAAATTAATGATAAAAGAAACTGCAGAAACCCCACAAACACATGGAAATTAAATAACACACTCTTGAGCAATCAGGGGGTCACATGGGAAATTAAAGAATAAATTAAACAATACCTACAAGCAAACAAAATACAAATTAAAAATTCCTGGAATCTGTGGGATGCAATGAAAGCTGTCCTCAGAGGAACAGAGTTCCTCTGCACTGAGTTCCCACATCAGGAAAACAGAATGAACACAAATAAACAACCTGAATGGAAAGATATTTTATAAATAACAAGGAATCAGGAAATAACAATTCAACAGCTACAAACATCTGCATCCCCTCAAACATCTAGAAAAAGAAGAGCAACTCAAGACCAAAGCCAAAAGAAGGGAGGAAATTATAAAAATCAGAGCAGAAATTAATGCAATAGAGACTAAGAAAACAATACAAGAATCAATGAATCAAAGAATTGGTGATTTGAAAGAATAAAAAATTGATAAGCCCCTAGAAAATCTTATTTTAAAAAGGAAAGAAAAAGCTCAAATTCATGCAATAAGGAATGAAAAGGGTGAAATAAGTACAGACTCTGTAGAAATACAGAAGATCATCAACACCTATTTCAAAAACCTCTACTCTCATAGGTTCGATAACACAGAAGAAATGGACAGATTCCTACAAACATATGAATTATCAAAGCTGGGTCAAGAAGAAGTAAAATTGCTGAATAATCCAATTTCCATTAATGAAACTGAAAATGTAATTAGGTCCTTACCTACAAAGAAGAGCCCAGGCCCAGACGAATTCCCTGCGGAATTCTACGAGAAATACAAAGAAGACTTAATGCTGACACTCGTCAAACTCTTCAATGAAATTGAAAGGGAAGCAATCCTTCCTAAGTCATTCCTGGAAGCAAATATTACTCTAGTACCAAAACCTAAGAAAGACCCAACTTAAAAAAGAACTACAGGTCAATCTCCCTAATGAACACAGATGCAAAAATCCTCAATCCAATATTGGCAAATAGGATGCAGCAAATCCTCAAGAAGATTATACACCATGACCAAGTGGGACTCATCCCAAGCATGCAGGCATGGTTCAACATATGTAAATCAATAAATGTAATCCACCTTATTAATAAAGCCAAAAGTAAGAATCACATCATCATTTCTATAGATGCAGAAAAAGCTTTTCATAAGGTCCAACATTTATTCGTGATAAAAACCTTACAGAAAATTGGGATAGTCTTTACCTCAGTATGATAAAGGCCATCTATGTCAAACCAACAGCCAGTATCATACTAAATGGCCAAAAACTGAAGGCCTTTACCTTAAAATCAGGCACAAGACAAGGATGTCCTCTATCACCGCTCCTATTTAATATAATTCTGGAAATACTAGCCAGAGCAATTAGAAAAGAGAGAGAAATAAAAGGGGTAATGATAGCAAAAGAGGAAGTTAAATTATCATTATTTGTGGATGACATGATACTCTATATAGAAGGCCCCCAAAACTCCATTGAAAGACTGCTAGATATAATAAATAAATTCAGCAATGTAGCTGGATACAAAATCAATACTCAAAAATCAATAGCATTCTTTACACTAACAACAAAATCACTGAGAGACAAATAAGAGAAGGCAGAATCTTCACCCTAGCATCCAAAAAAATGGAATACTTAGGAATTAATCTCATGAAAGAAGTGAAAGACCTATACAGAGAAAAGTATAATACCCTGAAAAAAGAAATCAAAAAGGATCTCAGAAAATTGAAAGACATCCCTTGCTCAGGGATAGGAAGAATAAATATTGTGAAAATGGCCATTTTCCCAAAACTGTTACACAGATTCAATGCAACCCCAATAAAAATACCATTAACATGCCTCATAATCCCAATAAAAATACCATCACCATGCCTCTATCTAGAGAAATCACTCCTAAAATTCATCTGGAACCAGAGGAGATCTAAAATAGCAAAGATAACTCTAAGCAACAAAGGCAAGGTGGGAGGCATCACAATCCCTGACTTGAAGTTATACTGCAAAGCAATTGTAGTAAAATCAGCATGGTACTGGAACAAAAACAGATCTGAATTTCAGTGGAATAGAGTAGAAAGTACAACCACAACTACAGACACACTCAACCACCTTATCTTTGATAAAGAGGGCAAACATGTTCACTGGAAGAACAACAGTCTCTTTAATAAATGGTGCTGGAAAAACTGGATCTCCATTTGCCGAAAACTGAAACTAGACCCATGCCTATCATCATGTACTACATTAAAATCTAAATGGATCAAAGGTCTGAATATTAAAACAGAAACACTAAATCTATTGGAAGACAAATTAGGTAAAAACCTTGAAGACATAGGGGTAGGTAGAGAATTCATGAACAGGAATCAAACCGCAAGGAAATATTTTCCAGAATCAATAACTGGGATCACATCTTATTAAAAGGTTTCTGCACATCAAAAGAAATCTCCAGCATAGTAAAAATAAAACGCACAAACTGGGGAAAAAAATGTTAGTGAACTGTCCCTCAGACAAAGGACTTCTGTCTAAAACACATGAATTTTCAAAAATCAGACCCCCAGAATTCAAAGACCCAAACCAAAAATGGGCCTCTGAGATGAACACACAGTTCTCAGAGGAAGAAATACAAATGGCAAATAAATACATGAAAAAATGTTCATCATAATTACTCATTAGAGAAATACAAATTAAAACCACACTGAGATTCCATCTCACTCCTCAAAGAATGACCATGATCACAAAAAGGCTGTGGGGAAAGAGGAACTGTCCTGCACTGTTGGTGGAAGTGTAGAGGGGTGCAACCACTATGGAGGTCAGTCTGGAGATTCCTCAAAAACTTGGGATTGGAAGATCCATTTGACTCAGCTATTCTACTTGTAGGCATATTCCCAGAAGAACTGAAAACATCATCTCACAGTGATATATGTGCACCCATGTTTATAGCAGCACAATTTGTAATAGACAGATCTTGGAAACAACCTAAATGCCCATCAACTGAGGAATGGATAAAAAAAGTTGTGGTATTTTTATACAGTGGAGTACTACTCAGCTATAAAGAATGATTACATTGAGATATTTGTCAATGAATTGATGCAGCTTGAGGCAATACTCATAAGCTAAATAAATCAAACTCACATGTATAAATACCTTATAGTCCCCCTAGTGTAAAAAATAATAAGAATACATAAAAGTATATGGTAATTCCCCATTATTGCTTATGTTTCCATTCATTAGTTGGAATGTTTTTATTCTGGTTTGTTTGATTTTATTGTCTGTGATGGTATGAACAGCTATTTTGAAGAAAGCAAGACATTATAATAGCTAGTTCTGATTTAATGCCATCTTGTTTTGAAGTCCTACCAAGATTTTGTTCTTCTGTCTCCATCAGTTTTATCATGTTGTATCTTATTGGATTTTATTATATATGATAGTACAAACAAAAATTATTATGGAGAAGGAGATAATATAGTAACCATTGTTCATTTTCTGTTAGTTGGTTTTGAATACCCTGTAATAGTTTCACTCTGTTGAATGGTTTTATACTATTTTGTTATGTTTGATACTATAGTGTATAATGGTATACTCAAATATTTCAAGGAAAGAGACACTATGGTAGCTACTGTTATGTCAAGTTATCTTGTGGTAAAACACTGTGTTCCTTAAATTGTTCTGTTCTGATTGTTTTGTTATGTCCTCTTTTATCTTAATCTTTTTAAAAGAAAAAATAAAAATAAAAAAAGAAATAGAAGACAGAGTCAAAAATCAAGAAGGACACATATAAATATACAGGAACAAAGACAGACATTGAGAGGGAAAGATGCATAGATAAATACCAAGAAAGATGAAGGTTTTTATTGAATATCCAGATCTAGTAACTTGGGGCTGGGGATTTAGCTCAGCGTCAAAAGCACCTGCCTTGCAAGCAGGTGGTTGTGAGTTCGATCTCCGGTACCAATAAAAAAAAAAAAAGACAGATCTAGTAACTTCTGAAATCAATTGGGCATCGGGTTTTCTTATGATATGAACAAAACATAAGTTGGATTTTTATTATTCAGAGTGAAAATATCACTTTTATTGCTGATTATAGTTTCTCAAAAATTAACTTTGTGACTCCCTAGTATATATCTGAAACATCAATGACCAGACGCCACTATTTCTATCCCTCAAAAATTCCACCATGTTTCCTTGCCCAGCACTGAGTGGCCTGGAAGAGAGACTGGGAAAGTGTGAGGCCACTGTACTGAACAGCAAGACTAAGAACCATGGAGGACGCACCAGTAACTTCCCAGCCTCCTGGCCCACCCTTATGTGACACCCGAGCTACTTCTAATTTGTTTCTGGAAACAGGCTACTTGGGTCATCTCAGGGCAAATTCCTTTCATTTTGTATTGCTTTCTTCTCTGCTTAATTAAGGAGACTTAGGGTACAGTTAACTCAAAGTCATGTTTAATTATGATAAAAAGCACCACAGCCAGGCAAATGTTTCCATGTTTCTCTTGTATAGTCTGTAGGGGATAGTGGAAGCAGAGAAAGTCCACAGGACATAAACAGATGCTCCTGCAGTTCACAAGCAGAGGCTCCAAGGTCAGCCCAGGAGACGGCAGCCCAGATCCTTGGCACAGGGCCACAGAAGTTAAGGTGACTGCTGCAATGGAACCACTGCTGGACTCTGATCTCAGAAGAGGACAGACAGTTGAGCTGGGAACTCTGGAACTCTGGGCTGGAACAGGCAGGGCTTACAGAAGAGTGATAGCTAATCCCATCAAAATACACTCAGGAGTCAGTGCAGGAGCCCTATGGGAGAGAGGGGGTAGCACGGGAAACAGTAAGATCCAGGGCATACTTCCACCACCTCCCTGGAGATCTGTATAAAGGGGAAATCAGCTGAAGTTGACACGGGGAACCACAGCTGGACAGAGATGTACAGGAGGTAGGCAAGCAGCTACCACAATACTGGGGAATATGAAGGGTTCAGTGTTTTTAGTGAACTGGATGACGACTCACCTTATTTCCAGCACTAGTAGCCTCTTTGAGTCTCTGGCAAATGCCTACTGACAGTAGCCTCTTATAGAAGGCACAAAGTGGCCACCACCTTGTCTCTGACATCCAATATAGGGCTCAGGCCACAGTTTTCACAGCAAAGATGCCACCAGGTTCTGGGGAAAATCTCTGGAGTTCCCCATACGCTGGTGACCTTCCCTTCTCATTCTTGATCCCCACAACAGGGAAGAGGCCACAAAGTGGGACTGTTGTCCCAGGTACACCTACCCCACACCCCTCTCTCACATACCTGTGCACCTCCTCCCTCCCCATCCCCCCAACCCCTAACACTGAATCAGGGCTGAAACATTCATTACCTGCAGGTGGAGGCCCACGAGTGCCTACAAAAGGAAGATACACAGAGATAGATCTTGTTACACAAACAGCTACTTTCTCACCCTCCCCTAGGGGAAATAAGACGTGTAATGTAACTGGAGAGTTGTATTCTCTCCCCACCCTTGTGCTACAAGGCCCCAATCACACTAAGCAAAATCTCCAAAAACGAATGAAATTGTCTCTAGATGGAATAAAAACCAAGGCTCTGACTCTCTTAATAGATGAAGCTTTTGGGAAGGAATTAACGGTGAGAAGAAGGAAGCCCTCGGGTGAGCTCCACCAGCTGGCCCTGCAGCAGAGCTGCCTTTTCCACCAGTAAAGTCAGATTCCAGGGTCAGGGTATAGCTCAGAAGCACAAGTGCCTGTCTGTAAGCACAAGATCTTGAGTTTGATTCCCAGTACAAAAGAAAGACAGAAAAGAGAAGAAAAAGAGAAAGGAAGAAAGAAAGATCAGATTCCAGTGCCTTTTCCTGCCTCTTCCTACCACCAACCTCCTTCCTTCAGGGGAAGAGCTGCCTCCCTGCACAAAGGATCTCAAGCACAGCCACCCTCCCGCTTCCCCCACACAGCTCACCTTTCTTATTCCTGTGACGGATGAAAACTCCCAGCCCTAGGAAGATCAGGCCCAGCACGAGGCCCCCGACACCACTCAGCATCTTGCTCTGCGCAGATTCAGACTGCGCCCCTGGGAAGTGAGACTGAAGGTCAGCTTTGTCCCCATCCTAGAGGATCCCTGGTGAGCACCTGAAGTCCAATCTGAGTTACAAGATGTGGAGATTCTTAGGTGAGCTATTTCTCTATTCCAGTGATGGCGAACCTTTTAGAGATGAGGGTCCAAACTGCAGCACAAAACCCACTTATTTATCCCAAAGATCCAACCCTGCAATTAAACCTGAATATCCAGTGTTTGGCTGCTACAGGGACTTGGCTCAGGTCCCCAGAGAGAAGGTTTTTGTGCACACTGTGGCATACATGTCATAGGTTCACCATCACTGCTCCTCTCTGACCATCTCCAGGAGAGGGGAGGACCCCCAGGATATTGATGCACATGGCAGGTAGACAATATTAGAGGGTGTAAGTGAAGACATGCTGCTCACACATCCATAATCTTAAACCCAAGACCCCAGTCACCAGCCATAACAGTGCGTCCCTATCAGTGCCAGGTTCCAGGGCTACAGTGAATACAGTGGCCTCCCCAGTATCTAGAAGGATAATCAGGTGGGGATCTTCCTGACACCCTTGCCATATGGCAAGAGGTTTTAGTTTCCTGTGGCTCACAGCTCAGCAGTGGCATCTAAGACAAGGGACTGGCCAAAGGGAGTTTAGCTCTCTGTCTCTTGAACCCCAGTGAAAGAACACAAGGTCCCCCTTACGCCACTCCACCGTGATGGGGCTCTGGAGGCTGGGGTGCTCCACGCGGCAGGTGTAGACGTCTCCACGCTGGGGGGTCATCTCCAGCATCACCAGCATCTGGAAGGTCCAGTCCCCATTTCTAATAAGAGGGGTGGACACAACGCGAGCCGTCTCCTCCTGGCCATTCCGGAACCACTGGACTTTGACTTGGCCTGGATAGAAATCTGACACTGAGCAGACCAGAAGGTTGTGGTGGTTCAAAGCCTCTGTTCTGGATGGGGAGATGGTCACCATGGGCTCCACTGTGGGCAACAGACAGCAAAAGGCAGAGTGAGTGAGATGTGAGACCCATGGCAGGTCTCCCAGGGGAAGGGTTCCTCCAGGGTACTAGGGTGGGATCCCTAGATTCCAAAACTTGGATTTAGTCATTCAGAACAAATTTGACATTTGAAAATATAAACAGTCTATGGTCTCTGTTTTTTTAGAAATTACAATCTACTAACAGACAATAAAATAAGAATGAATGAAAATAAAGATTATAATATTTGAAGGAAACATAGAGGGACCTTGAAAACAAATAGCACTGATGAAATATCATGTTTGTGGCTTCTCTGCCTTCTCAAATTGCTATTCATGGTCTCCCTAGTGAAAGAAAGGTGCCCCTGGCTGGGGATACATTTCAGTGGCACAATGCCTGCTTGGCAAGCATGAGGTCTTGAATTTGATTCCCAGTACCAAACAGTGAAACAATAAAAAAAGGTGTCCCTCACACCCCACTGCACTATGTTGGGGCTCTGGAGGCCGGGTGATCTAGTTTCCCTGTCTATTTTGTATCTCTTATCCTTTATCTCTCAAATCAATTTACTTCATTTCCCTTGTTCCTTTAGGGTGACAAGATATCCTAAATGAAGTTAAAGACATGGTAGGGAAAGAACTTTAACAATAATGTTCTAAAAATGTTACTAGTTACAGAGACTAGATATCAGAATACATTTTTAAAAATGATTATTTGAAATTAGCAGCTAAGTAATGACCATAAAAACAGGACAAAAGAAACCAGGTACATTGACTTCTGGGAGAACATGGCAGACAGATAGCAGCAGCTACGGAGGCTCTCTGAAAGACCCAGCTTAGAATTTAGGAATGGTGCGGAGTAAGGAATCATAAGCAAGTGGAGATATGCCCTGCTGACCCAAGAACATACTGGGCTGAGAGAAACCAACTGGGAATGCAATCCTGGTGCTATAACAGGAACAGATAAAGCCTCAGCGTGGAAGCTGGAAACCCCCCCATTGGAAGCCGCAATGTGGGTTTCCCACCACCACTGCTGCATCTACATCGGCTTGGCAGGGAGAGAGATGTGCGAAAGCTCTGAGAACAGGAATCAGTGAACAGAGTTGAAAGCAGGACGGGCGGCAAGCTGTGCATTGACCTGCGGTTGAGTGAGAGAAACTGGGACTCTTCCACAGTCTAGGAAACTCCAACAGCTGACATTCTGCGACCAGGCAGACTTGTGGGAATAGGGCACTGCAGTGACTTCAGTCGTGTATTACCCTCTCAAACGGGATTGGTGAGCAGTGCCTAGCCTACGTGACACTGCTGGCTGAGACCCAGTAGGCTAGCACAACCCAGGTCCCAGCACCTGAAGATAGATTGACCTGGAAGGGTGGACCCCGCATAGGTTGCCTGGTCTGCAACTTCCTGGTGCGCTACGGTGGGCAGGAACTCCTAGCCAGCACAATTCAATCAGACAGTGGCTGACAGGGAAGGAAGCTGGGCCTCCTATATACACTTGCATATATAAGGAACAAAGAATACGGGAAGAGGCAGCAACAAGAAAGGGTCCTTGGCCCCTAATCCTGAGAAAGAGGCAATAGCAGACACAGCACCAGTAGATATAAAGTGCTATCTCCAAAGCCTCATAGACAAATTCAGGAATGAAGTTATTAATGACCTGAAGCTAGACATAAGCAGAATAGTTAGAGAAATGCTAAGCACCACCCAAGAAAAAACAGATGGTGGAATGGAAGAACAGAAAAAGAGGGGAGAATTGTTTGATGGAGAAAATAGAGAAAGCATAGAATACGTGAAGCAGGTTCAAAGAGATTACCAAGAAACTAAAAAGTCTATCAAAAACTGGCATAACAGCTTGAAAGAAACTAAGGACAGATTATCTGAACTGGAGGACAGATTTGTAATATGGGAGCATGAAATGAAAAACTTCTTAAAAATAACAAAGAAACAAACAGCAATAATACAAAGACTAGAAGATGATAAGAGGGTCTATAACTTAAGAATTAAGAACATAAAAGAATAGGTAGGGACACAAACAAATGAACTACAAAAGCTACTCACAGAAATAATCCAGGAGAATTTTCCTAATTTAGCAAAAGGTAAAGATACTCAGTTGTATGAAGCATACAGGACCCCAGCCACCTACAACCCAAACAGAGCAACACCCAGGCATATAATAATTAAAATTCCAGAAATCCAATACAAGAACAGAATATTAAAAGCTGTCAGAGACAAGAAACAGATCACTTACAAGGGAACACCCATCAGAATTACAGCAGATTTCTCGGCACAAACCATCAAATCACAAAGAACGTGGGGAGAAATAATTCAAGCTTTGAAAGATAATAATCTCCAGCCAAGGTTGATATATCCTGCACAACTATCCCTGGAAATTGATGGAGAAACAAGGTGCTTCCAGGATAAAGAGGAACTAGGGGAATACGCAACCACCAATTCAGCTCTACAGAGAATACTGCAGGATATTCTAAAAAAGAAAAATACGAAGAATCCAGAAATAGTGGCAGAGAGGCCACAATGAATGGAGCAGAAAACAAAATGAAGAAGACAAACTGACAACTAATGACAGAAAAAGAGCTCAACAGAAATGAGGCAGAGAAGATTGGATGATAGGAACAGCTATTTTGGAGAAAATGACGTCTTAATAGGTAATACTGATTTAGTATCATCTTGTTTTGAAGTCTCATCAAGCTTTTGTTCTTCTGTCTCCATTGGTCTAAACAGGTTGTATCTTACTGGATTTTATTATATATGATAGTATAAGCAAAAACTTTTATAGACAAGGAGATTATACAGAAACAATTGTTCATTTTCTGTTAGTTGATTCTAAATACCCTGTAATACTGTCATTCTCTTAAATGGTTTTACATTGTTTTGATATATTTGATGCTACAGTATATGAAGTTATACTCAAAGATTTCAAGGAAAGAGATAATATGGTAACTACTTTTATGTCGGGATTATCTTGTGGTGAAACACTATTTTGTTTAAATGGTTATGTTCTGATCTGCGCTGTTTTGCTGTTATGCCCTCTTTTATCTCAATCTCCATTTTATTATTTACTTTTTTATTTTTATCCTTTTAATTAAGGGAAAAATAAATAAAAAGCAGGATATATTATAGTAACCCACTTTGACTCTCCATTATCTTGATTTAAAGCCCTGTATTGTTCTCACCATCTTATTTTGACTGATGTCCCTCTATTTTGTTTTGCTTGATAGTACCAGGTTCGAAAGTTTAGGCAACAGCTGTGAAGATAGTGGGATTCATTATGATGCCCATTCTGCTTGATTATTATCTACTTTTGAAGACCTATAATGTCTCCAATGTTTTGGTTTTGTCGGTTTTGTTCTTTACTGTTTTGTTCAATTTTATTATAACTGATGATATAAACAATTCTATTAGAGATAGCAGGAGGCATTATGTTAACCATTGTTGATCACCTTGTATTATGCTTCTACATTATCTATTATGTCCAACCTTTTGATTTGACTGACTCTGTTCTGTTATGTCACATTTATTTCTACTCTCTTCCAAAAAAATAATAAGAACTGTGGGAGCAACAAAACCCAAAATGTGTAATTGTCATTACAAAAGAGAGGAAAAGAAAGTGCTCTAAACGATATAACTGCATGTACATTTAAGTGTATAAGATAGATAATGATATTACTGAATTTTGTTGGATCGTTGAACAGAACTGTTTGCAGTCTCCCTGTTGGAATGTCCACTTTACAAGCTTTAATTTTGTAACTTGAACAATTATTTCTAAGATGACAATATGTAATCCATTAACTAGTGATTTCCTACTGTTTATTTTTTTCTGTAAATCTGTATAACTTGTACCCTTTCTCTGCTTTTTTTCTCCTTAAATAAAATTAAAAAAAAAAAAGAAACCAGATACATTTACCTAAGTTTCATGTTAAGACCTAATAGATTACCCTGTTTCATGGTTATCAATAAAATCTAAACCTTGACAGGTACTTATCACACATTTGTAGGCCGTTACAAACTTGCCAAAGGGCAGCTTGAAAATTTTTGGTACTTTACACAGTAGCCTAAACTTGAGTTCTTCACTCACTTTGTTGATTCTGCAGTTGCCACCCCTTTGGAAAATAGAGATGGCAACAAAGTACATATTTCTCAAAGCCAAGGTCAACAACTTAAATTCTGTATGCATCTTACAGCTTCCCAGCTGTGTAACTAATTACTGTCTGCTACCTCCAGGCATGAAAAATGTCTACGGAGAATTCTCTATGTGTATTTTTGCATACACAGAAATATCTGAGTTTGCATAATCGGAGGTGCTTCAGGCCAACAGATATCCACACTTAAAGTTAATGGTTGCCACTTGTGACAACTGAAAATGCTGTGTAAGAATGATGAATGCTTAAGCAGAGACATTTGCAAAATCTGGGCCTGTATACAAGAGGGGCAGAGATAAGTAACTAGACAATACCCATCTTAAACAGATTAGGAGTGAAAATAGAGGACCCAGATTCATGAGGAAGAGATTAGGATAACTTTTATAAACTAGAACTGAAATAGCAAAAACATATGCACCAAATAATATTTAAGTAATATTAATGTAAATATTTAATATTTACATTAGAAAAGTCAAGACAGTGCAAATTAAACATTTTGTGGCTATGCATAAACTGGAGTCAGGATAGAGATTAAACAGCAAATTCTGAAGCTCTTGAAAGTATCACTGTGTCCCAACCTCATTTCAAACAGGCAGGAGCAGGCCCGTGATTAGCTTTGGTCAGGTTTTGCTCCCACCGGATCCCACACCCATGTTGAAAGGACATAATGACTGCTGAGTGTCTGGGGAGGTTTCAGGACTTGGCAACCACCCGCAGGCTCAGTAACCTAGAGATTTTACTATGCCCACGACCACTGCTGGTGTCCAGGCAGTGGTGATGCTCATCTCTTAACACGGAAGGAAGCTGATGTGAGCAGCACCGCAGGTGATGTTGGGTGGGGCAACTGTCTAGAAATAGTGCTCAGTAGCTGGAAAAAATTAAGTTTCAAAGTGTGAGCAGTAGGGGTGAGAAAGTTGAGGCCAAAAGGAGCCCAAAACAACTTTTATTCAATCATCAGTGACTGCAGAGTGTTAGCCCTTTCCCTTATACCATCTGTTGCTTTTTTTAAAAAATAAAACCCTGCCTTACATCACTCGTGTTATTTTTGTCTGTAGCAAACACTTTTTCCCTCAGATGTTGTATTCATCAATCATAAACTACTAAGATCCAAAAAAAAAAAATTTACTTCAAAACCTTAAGCAAAATAATTAAGAATATTAGAGAAGCTGGGAAATGTATACCATCCTTACGCTTTCTCTTGTGCCTAAGTGGCATGAGTGGCTGGGTGCCTATGTTTGCTACTTAAACAAAGGTTATTGAGTTCTCCTATGTGCCAGTAATAACCTGGGGTCAGGTAAGAGGTAAGAGTAAAGCAGTCACAAGACAGTCTCTTCCCTGCAAGCCGATGTGGTGGCACACCCCTGCTATCCTAGCACTCTGGGAGGCTGAGACAGAAAGATCACAGGTTCCAGTCCACCCTGGGTAACTTAGCAAGACTTTTTCTCAAAATAAAATAAAATAAATTGTTTTAACAGGTTAAGGACGCAGCTCACTACAGAGGCCTTGGGTTCAATTTCCAGCTTTAAAACAAAAAAGAAACAAACAAACAAAGAAAAACAAGGCATATAAGAAAACAGAAGGTGGTGTGGCAGGCTGCAGCCGCTGGAGGAAGAGGGTAGAGGGAGGGACCACCAGTGACTCTTGAGATCCAGGCCATGTTGGAACTTAGGGCACTGAGAAACCAAGTGGCCATCCAGCTCACTTCCCTGCTAAGCCATAGTGAGCCTACCAGCAGCATGGGCTGAGAATCAAACATCTCCCTGCCTCTCCTTAGCAAATGGGAGCCAGAGGTCTGAGCATCTCTTGGGAGGATGACGTAAGCAATATAGCAAATTGGGGGGATTTTCTTCTACCATCTCTTTGAAGGAAATATTTTTACCAGTATTTTGCTTTATTCTGATTAAGGGTATTGCTCTATTCAATATTCTGTTTTGATAGGTTTTATAATGTTCTGTATTTGGTTGGATTTTCGTGTACCTGATTGAAAGGACAACTGTTGTGAAGATAACAAGATACACCATCAAACCTATTACTGTTATCCCAGTAACCCGCTGTGCAGTTCTGTACCAGCTTCCCTGCACTGTCTCAATTGGCTTTTTTCTGTCTTGTTCTGTTGTATTTTACTACGCTCAAAATAATTTTAAAAAATTTTAAAAAAGAAAGAAAAACATTAAAAAGAAAACAGAAGTAAGATGACTAATGATAGGACACCAGGAGGTCAATAATGCATCGCACCTCCCTGAGCAGGCTCGGCTGAAGGTGGCTCCAGGCTGCTGGAGGGGTGGGGGTGGGGTCAGGCGGGGTCACAGAGCAGAGGACAGAAGTGAGGACCAGGCGGAAACCCTGCACTAGGCGCCAGGCTGGAGCACGGAGCGGGAAGCAGGGCGGAAGACAGGACGGCGGGAGCGGCCAGCTCCTCGGGACCGCCTGGCTCCTGCCCTCGCCGGCCTCCTCCGAGCGGTAGCCCCGCTGGGTTCCCCCACGCTGCGGTGGGGTATCCGGCGGGGGAGGGGAGGGGCGGCCTCACCTTGGCGCCGCAGGGAGCTGAGTTCCTCCAGCTCGTAGTTGTGTTTGCACACGGTGTCCAGCTCGGCGCGCTTCCGCTCCATGAAGTCCTTCTGGCTGTTGAAGTCCTCGGCCCAGGACCGCCCCAGCTCGGTCACCGCGCGGTGCTCGCCCACCGCGCTGTCGTAGCCCACGAACTCCTCGCGGTTGTAGATGTACCTGTCCACGTGCCGCACCTGCTGCGTCCCGTTGGTGAAGTAGCACAGGCACTTATACTGGTACACGAAGTCCTCTGCGGGAAGCACAGGAGGGCGTCAGCCCGGCGGCCTGCCCGGCCCCCCACGGGAGCTGATCCGGGCGGGGTGCGGGGGTGACAGGCACCGGGGTCCCCACCCGCACCCCAGCCGCGTCCCTGCTTCACGCCGAGCTCTGCACCGAGCTCACAGCTTCCCGCGCGAGTCCCGATTCCACGGAGCCCGAAACCTCGGGACAGCGCGCGGGTCCGAGAGTTCGGGAATGAGCAGAAGGGCCTAGAACCGAGCCGGCCCACAAGCACAGCCGCTCGGCCCTTGAGGAAAACGCTGGGCTCGCTCTGCCTCTGCCGCCCCCACACACCCAAGGTGGGGTTCACTCACTCCTCAGAGCCACCTAAATTTCTAACCCTAGAAAAGAGCGTTTATTTATGGAAACACCACAGGATTTCAAATTAACTAGACAACATTCCAATTAAACTGTTGGAGGCAGGGTGTGGTGGTGCAAGCCTCTGTTCCCAGCATTCAGCGAACTGAGACAGGAGGATCCCTAGGAGTTTGAGGTCAGCCTGAACAGCAGTCAAGGCCTGCTCTAAAAAACCAAAAAATTAAAAATTGTTTTTAAAAAACTGAGTAGCCTGCTTAAACAGGTTACTTACGGGAATATCGCTATCCTAAACATAACTGCATGAAAGAAATTCATAATTCCTACACAGGATTGTTAGAAAAAGTGACAGAGAATTTACATAAACACGGTCCTGTGTCTGAAATGCGTGCTTCCTCAGCGTGTATCACAGGTTTCCCTTCTCTGCCTCCTTCCTTTATATTCAGTCTTCCATCAACTCCCGTCCCAAATCCCTCTCACGTCACTGTCTGACCACAGGTCAGCAAAGCACACAGTCAAGGCTACCCTTATGCTGGCTTCACTCAGATACCTGAGTTTGTCTCCCTGAACCCTGCACTCAGGAGGACCGAGCCTCTCTCCTGGATACGGAGTCTACAGAGACCATGGCTGCTCCCCCCCCCTCCCCCGCCACTCAGAACCCCACAGTGTTTCTCCCAGACGAGATCTCAGGGGACCCTAATAGCGACAGACCCTGCAGGGTCTGGTCTGAAGAAATTCATTTCTTTCCAAAACAACCCCTGGCTCCCTGTGCCCCCCTTGATTGTAACACAGACTCTGTCCCCTCCTTCTATTTATAACACCCCACCCCAGCCAGGAGGTAGGCAGGGCCCCACCTCAGCATTAGCAGATGGGTGAGAATGCACAGAGCCCTCTTCCCCAGAAGCTATCTGTGAGAAACACTGGGTTCTGAGGTCACCAGACTCACCGCCCTCACCCAGAGCCCCAAGGTCCCTCAGAGCCCCCTCCCTAGGGTGGTGGCTGTAGCTCTGGGAGCAGCCGCCCCACACTCACGTGGGCAGTATATGCCCTCAGCCAGAGGGCCACTCAGCACCATCAGCACCACTGTCACCATGGCTGGACCAAGGCCTCTCGGGATCCATACAGCCATCTTCACAGACATCGCTGAGGAGGAAGGAGAAGGCAATGGCAGTCAGCACAGCTCCCACCTGCTGTACCCACTTCAGAGAATAGAGACCTGTGACTGCCTCCTGGGTGTTAGGGCTGGGGAGTCCCCAGGAAAGGAGCCAATCAGCACTGGAGCTGAAGCGCATCATCTATCTCCAGGCAGACATCTTTATGAAGGCTCCCAGTCCACTGCCTGTGTCTGCATGAACCTGCACTGGATGAGGTTTGAGAAGGTTTCCTCTCATTTATAGAGACCTGTCTATGTGTGGAGACTGAATGCCCCAGGGGGAAAAAGAGACAAAAGATAAAATCAATTCACCTACAGTATGACAACTTTATGATATTTATAAAACCTATTTTTTCTTAAAATTAACATAAATGGGCACCATGTTTCAGGAGGCAGAAAATTATCATCACGTAGATGTTCGGTTTCATTATGTGAGCCCCTCTGAGGAGCCACGTGCCTTGATGAGGAAGGCAGAGATCACAGAGGGAAACGGTTGGAGCTACCGTCCTGCAGCCCCTGTGCTTCGTGGGTCAACAAATGACTCAGCCTCTTTTGACCCCAGGCTGTTCTCTGTAAGATGTGGCTGATGCTCCATGCCTGTCACACTAGATCTTCACACATACACATTTGAGAGTAATGTGACATGGTTACAGTACACAGTGTCTCTTAGTGGTCTCCTGTAACTCTTGGTAACATCAGGTTACCTTGTGGGGCAGAGCAGAAGAAAACACATTGGCATCCAGCCCTAGAGCAGGTGATCCTTCTTTAGGCAAAGCTCTATTGCTTCGTGTTATTTCAGTGGAGCACTGTCAATAATTAATAAAGCTGACATTGTTCTTTGTTCTCAGCTGTTTAAATCCTCCACAGTGATCTACAAACTTCCACAGATTTCATGTCACTTTTCAAGAACAGAAAACAGAAGATGTGGGGAGCATCTCCCAGGGCTGCAGTATTACTAAGGGAGCAAAGGATTACTTGATTGTTGTACTGTGCCAGCCCTAAACGTGACATCTTAAATGTATATTAATCAGTGTGCTCTTAAAATAAACCTCTTTACCCATTCTACTTACACATGAATTGTAACAATGCCTGACAAACATTAGTAACAGCTCTCACCAAGACTGTATCAGCCCCTCCACCTATAAGTTTCTTTCCTTTAGTTTAAATTTTCCTTCTAAAACAGAGAACAGAGTCTAAAAGCAGAATCGAAGGGCTTCAGCAATTGAAAGTAGGGAAGAAGTCACAAGAAGAAATTTCTGCTGCTGGCACATGAACAGACAGGGTTATGAAAATATCCCATGTCCGTGCATGGACAGGAACACCTGACCCTAGGAAGGCTGTGGCTGGGCTCCCACAAGCAGTGCTCTGCTCAGAGTCCAGAGGGCTCAATATAAGGAGGGTTTGTACAGGAGCAGTGGCCATAGAAGGACAGAACATCAAACTCAGACCTGGAAAGAGTGGACAGAAAAGGACCTTGAACGTCCCTTGAATGTGAGGCAAAGTCTGCCTCAGGGGGATTTCCCAGTTTCCCTTGACTTTTAGCACAGACTTTTCAGCTAGCAACGAAAGCGTCAGCTTGCATCCCTTTGTCTGATTGGCTGAAACCTCTGCAGAAAGTCAGTGCTTTGGACCTCTGCCAGCCATAGCCCCAGCCCAACCCTCTCTAGAGTTCTCTGCACTGTCCAGTGCCTGCTGCATTCCTCACTCAGGGCAGCCACCAGTGACCCGGCCTGGGAGGAAGAGGATTTGGAAAAATGCTTCATACCACTGTAGCTCTGGTAAACTGCTCTGCAGGGTTAGGATAAGGTAGTGTGGACCTGCAGAAGGTTAATAGAGCTGGGGAGTAAAGTAAGCAGCACAGCGCCTACCTGGCAAGCACAAGTCCTGAGTTCAATTCCTGGTACAAAAAAAAGGAAAAGTTTTTGGAATAAAGGCACTGTCATTCATTTAGGTCGAGGCTAAAGGTTATGCTTTGTTCCTTCAAAGTAAACAATAAAAGTTGTGGACTCCTTGAAGGAAACCCAGGAAGAACTCATCCCTGGTCAGTATCCCTTGGAATCTGTGCTTGGTCAGTTGATCATCATCTCACTGAAGGGGTCATCTGTGACTATTCTGTGTTCACCTCGGCAATCAAGAAGTGTATCTCCTGAAGGATCCCATGGCCTCCTTAATGTCTTGTGTAACAGGATACAAATACTGACTCTCTTGTTATTTTCTTTATAAAAATGTATAAAGTAATTATCCCAGATTTTCTAAATCTTATCGAATCTCTTTACGTATTTCCCCTATGTCAACTCTTGGATGCGTTACATTTTTTCCATTATATACGAAGTAAAACCCTTTCTTTTTATACAAACTTTTACCTTTAGGGTCACATGTTAGAGAAAATAAAGACAAATACCTGAGATAAACAAAGAGAAGAAATAGTAGTAGTCAAAACTAATATAGTAGCTATTTAAAAGCTACTTCAACTCTTGGAGAGTTCACTGCCTGTAGTAAGAAAGCACACCTCACAGGACCACCTTCATGAATGAAGATATAATTTGTAAAAGTCCCTGAAATCTACAAGGAGCTATATATTTATACTGTGATAGTTTTTAATTCATTTTTTAACATCATTAAACAGCAAAAACTCTGCCTGGCATTTTTCACCTTGGTTCAGTGATGGCCAAATTTTTAGAGACTGAATGGCCAAACTGCCACCCAAAATGCACTTGTTTATCTGAAATTTCTAACACTGCAATTAAACCTGAACACTGAGGTTTTAGCTTAGAGAAAACAACTCACGTTGATATCTTCTGTCTAACAGAAAAACCTATAAAAGCGTGCCATAGGTTTGCCACTACTGAACTTTAGAAAACTGCTATTGGACTTTATAATAATGATGATCTTGAATCCCGACATTTCATTTCTTCATTATGGAAGGAAAGTGAGGTGGGAAAACATAGGCGATGTGTTTGATCATGAATCCACCTTATTTTCCCCTCTCTGAAACACCACCTCTATTGCCTGTTCAAAACCTGGACCTACTGGCTGAGGGCTTACGGGTATGGGAATCTGAGTGCAATATGAACTGATGGAAGAAGAAGAAAGTGGGTAAAGCTTTGTGGGCTACATAGGCTGTAATGGCAGAGTCTGCAATCATATTTCATCCTTCTTGGTTTGATCTGGAGGAAGAGGGATCACCTGCTCCTCCATGCAGCTGCTGCCATTTGTCTAAAATCCCTGCTCTGGACCACACGCCCATGTGTCCTGTGTTCCTCTCCAGCATGATCTGGGTTCCTTGGTTTCTGAGCTGTAACACATGGATGTGGTTTTGTTGCTAGTACTTTGGTCTCAGACCCAACAAATCCCAGATGGTGAGTTCTGACACTTAATATTTTTATAGTTATCATGCTGGGCTTCAGAACTGAAAAATATAGTTCATTGTTCTTCCTTCAAGAAGTTCACACATCAGAGAGGACACAGACCTGGGTAAAAAAGTAAGCAACATAACAAAAGTTTGCAACTATCACTAAAAGTGTGGTCAAGCATTACTTTCCAAAGACACAAGAAAAGCATGTTGGAGAGGCAATCAGCACATACAGTGATAACCAGGTATGGGGCACACACCTTCATCCCAGTACTAGAGAGGCCGAAGGTAGGGGGTAAAATGTTAGAGCAACTAAAAAATTTAGCAAGACCCCTTAATGAAATAAAAAATTAAAAAGAGCCTGGGAATGTAGCAGAGCATAAAGACCCTGAGTTCAATCTCCAGAAAAAAGAAAATACCAGGTATATATATAATGGTGACCACCAAAATATTGATATTCTCTTAGAATATGATTTACAAGGGAAAGGATTTAATACAGGACACAAAATTTATAGGATTATTTTGTAATATTCACCCAAAGAGTCAAAGGCAAAAAAAAAAAATTTAGGAGATCTATACACACACTAGAGACTCAAAAGTCCAACTGAGGGCCTGAATCCCATGGCAATGTCCTGCACAAGTCCAGCTGGAGGCCTAGAACCCACAACAATATCCCAAGCAAGTCTGTTTCAAGAATCTGCTCTGGGAAGTCCCAAAGGTTGGTGACGGAAGCCAGAGGATGAAGGATCTGTGCCAGCAGGCCAGGGTTCTACACTGGAGCCAAAAAGCAATGCTTAAGGTGAGGACCAGAGCCCCCTGAAAAGTACCACAGTCCTCTTCAGTGACTACAAGGATCTGAGCTCCTCTGATGATGTGAACAGGTGAGTTCATATCAGGAAAGCCAGCATGACAAGCTTCTCAAGGAGAATCAGCAGCACCCTATCTTCCCCTTCAGTTCTCCTTTTTATGTAGTTGGCAGCAATCCTCAGGTGGGCCCTCCACACCCAGAAATTTAAGACTGGAAGACGATGATAACAGTGGTTTGTTGGATTAACACATAAATGAGTCTTCATGATGAGGGTGATTTGACTGTGTAGAAGTGATGACAAGGTTCAACGGCATTGTAATTCCCTAGTTTTGATATTTTGCTACATTCAAGTAAAATGTAACTGCACAGGAAAACAGGATGACAGGGTATATGGAATTTTTTTATTATCTTTTCAATTCCTTGTTAATTTATAGTTGCCTCAAAATAAAAATTCAAAACAAAAAAATTGATGAAAACTAATTAAATTAATTAATAGTATACTTAGTAGAAATCAGCTAAAATGAAACACAGCAGCCGTGGGTTGTAGAGTCATGTTGAATGGCACTGTCAGGCTGTCTGAGACCATCTCACATCACCTTTGCTTTTCAAACATTTTTGGTTTCTTCTTTTTTCCTCATTGCATCTTACTCTGAGTAATTATATGGACCTATTTAAATATAATTGACTCTTCCTTGCTATGGCAAGTTTACAATGAGCATGTCAAATACATTCTTTATTTTTGTTAATGTATTTTTTATTTCAAGCATTTCCACTTGGTCCTCTCTGCTGGTTTCCATCTCTCTGATCTTCCATGTTGTCCACCTTTCCCTCAGATATTGCTCTAGTTTAACAGTGGGTTTCTCCACCAACATTTATGTTAATTTTTATTCCCCCTGTGGTGACATTGGGAAGTGGGCCCT